GACCATCCTGAGGCTTTGGAGGCATTTGATACAACTAACCCCGTCATCTAAAGAATAGGGAATCGGCTTAAACCCACTAGTTAATTCTAATGTTTCTTAAGTTTCTACAATTTTTGATTATCTCGTTTACTGAGGATCGAAAATTTGTGGTGCCCACTGTATAGTACCACTGTAAAACAAACGATAAAAGAAGGATAATTCCAATTAAAGTTGAACTTTAACGATAGAAGACCAGAGACCGGGTAAAGGAATGTTTATTTGGGATTTGGTATCGCTATATAGGGAAATTATGTACACGTTATCTTCAACGCACTATTTGCACAGATCTCGCGTGTTGTGATACTTCTCGCCTTCCTTCATATTGTGTTTCTTTGTGTTCCTTTCACGTCTTCCATGTATCCTCCGTAACGCTTTATCATTTGCTTTCTCTGACATCAAATCTATCTCCCTGCTATTTGATGTTGTTTTATGCCGATGAACGTCTCTTCATATACTACTGATAAGCCTTATCAGTAGAACATGCCACAGTACCATTTGTTGCAGAAAGATATATAATGTAATTGTCACGTGTGAACATGTTTTCGATCTGTAAATGCATATTACGAATGATATGGTGTATGGTATCGATTAGTTGAAGGCATACTCAGTAACACACCGCATTCACACAGAATTGTAGTCAGATCATTTTTAAGTATTGGTTTTGTAGGGATTTTGTTTGATTGCATGGAGGATTTCATCATGAGCTGACATGAGTTAGAGGACCACTGGAAAACCTGAAGGGTGTACTGGACAGCTGTTTCGTCCTAGTTTGGGACTCTTCATCAGTGCGCACCCACCGGGATGTCAGCTCATGATGAAATCCTCCATGAGATCATTTTTATTCAACACTTTCAAGTAACAAATGTTAGTAGTTAGTTGGTGTGAGTTTTGCTTTGATCACCATCCGGTGGGCAATTCTCCTACAGTATCCAAATATCCATAAAGTAATTACAAACAATTACTTCGTATATTAAAGAGCATAATTATTGTCTGAATATCTAAAGACATACATAACGCCTTATTACCTAAAAACATTCTACAAATATATATCCCTCTCTCAGCATGTCATACATGTATTGTAATCAACAAATAACAAATACAGAAGTTAAGTATGGGATTTCAAGTAAAAGAAATGGAGGCCGTGAACTCTCATCTATTTGGGTGTCTAGAGGATGCATTAAACTCTCACTGTTTACCCTTACTTTCAACTTTAGTGGAGGTTCAAGATAGAGAAATCTAAGAGCGGTTGGTTAGACTTGGTTGGGTATGTCATTCGTTCATGAAGTGTTTGAGTGCTGATGTTTGGATCTGCGAAACAATTTAAATCGGTGGTTAGTGCTCATGTATTCGTATCTTATTCTCATTTTTTTTGTTCACATCACATTCACTTTATTCTTACTTCTCCTTGGTTTACAACCCTCTGTAACTTTTACCCTAGCAGAATTCTCATACAAAACGGAGCATTTTACTCCTTGGATAACTAATATGTCTCTAGTCATTAAAGTATTATTCTGACACCCTTCATCTTGACTGCCGATGGATTTGTGAGTGCATACTGCTGGAGAGAGTCACTGAGTCAATAAGAAGTACTTTTTAATACTCAGTAGTGTTTTCTGGCAGTTACTCAGAAACTCACTAACTGTGAATATATCTACATCTTATGATGTTTTATTTCCCCTTGTTATTGAAAGTTTAAGTCTTTGATGATAGTGTATAACTTTGAAGGAGGTGTTTGCTGAGATAGAGCGACTAGTGTTCAGAAGGTGTCCAATTATCTCACTCCTCTATACAACCGATTTACACCTAGCTACACAGGAACAGGTGAACTGATGTGTGCGCACAGAAGCGGTGAGATGCGAGATCTTGTGTTTCAGGCTTCTGAAGACCAGTGGACGACTGGAGAACACTATTCTAAGCGTTGCTACGAAGAATGCTCTTCTCAAAGATGATGAAATTCTTCTTTTAAGAATATTGCAGGTTAAGTCACAGTCTTTTCCATAATGAAGTACCACTATTAAAACATATACATTTTAACGGATAGTGTTATTTCTGAATTCTAGAGTAATTAGGAGAAAATAGTTTTTCTAAATGAATAATATTTGGGAGTCTCAAAGAAATTCACACTGGACTTTTTTAGATTTATAGCATCATAGTACTTATAAGTAGATAGAATTATTCTGAATGATTTATTTCAACGAGTATTGTCTCTCTTATAGAGTTGTATTCTGATTAGTAGGTGTTCATCCATCTTTCAGTGTTAGAAAGTGAGAGAGCAGAGAGTGGAGAGCTGACTATCTGATGCTTTTCTGGAAATTTTACTCAATGCATTATAGAGTGAAATAATGACACATGAGTAATCATGTTAATGTTTGTTTTATTAAATGAAAAAGTAGTAGCAGTAGTAGTATCATGTCATAATTAGAAAACTTTTTCGTTTTCTTCCTTGTCTCTCTTTCTTTATGTTTCTTGTTTCCAATTTTGTGTTTATCCATCAACTGTGTATGAGTGTTGTGTGTGTGTACCTACCTATGTGCGTATTTGTCTCCTTGTCTATAATTCATATTTTTGATGCATTCTAATATGGTTTTGTTTATGACCATCAACTCAAGGCATATTTATTTTCACTATTTGGTGGTGAATTTACTCATTTTTTTTTACTAATCTTGTTATCCACGATTCTTTCTTTCCTTTGCCTGCCTAATCAAAAAAAAGAGATATCTGGATAGAAATGATAGATGAGGATGGTTAGATACAGATAGTTTGGTAAAGTTATGCTAAGTAGTTAGTTAGTTAGTTAGTTGAGAGTATATACAAATTGATACATGTATATTGTTTTATGTGCATGTGTCTGGCGTCAACTGAGTGTATCTCAAGTCATATAGTCTATTATTTAACGGTCGAAACTTTTGTCTTTTGATGAGAACAAACATGGAAACCAGTGATGCTAACAATAATAAGGCAAACATGTTCACTAATACTAATGCTACTACCTACTACTCCATATGTGTCTATGCCACTCACTTTATTATTCTTGTTTCTGTTTTCATGGACAACAAATGCTTGTTTTTCTGGCAAAATTCATGTATATGTTGCTTTGAGTAAGCCTGGATATGTCTTTGTACTCAGGGTGAAAGCAATTAGGCAAATATACAGAGAATTGGGAAAAAAAAATGACTGAAAACCTCATTTCTCCCTCAAAAAAAATAAAAGACAAACAAAGAAAGCGAAGCAAAACCAATTAGGAAAAAAAATTTAATCAACTAATATTTCTTTTGTTTAAGTCAATTTTGTTTTTCCAGTTGAATTAATTGGACCAAAACACTCGGCTCCAGTTGACATATCGGCTTCTAGTACGGATGCTTCGACAATGTCTGAGGAATAACATTGATGTTACTTTGTCGATGGATTGTAGGTATATCCAGCTGACTAGTCTCAAGTAGGACGAAGTGCACATCCTGGATCTCATTGCTAGTTAACATCCACCAAACAGCCGGTACTTCTGTTACTCAAGAGTTATGTGTTGTGTGCAGTCCTTCAATTGATACGAATGTATCACCTTGTTACTCTTAAACCCACGTAGAAACGAATTTGTAGTGTTTTGTGTGTAGTAAAAAGATGATTGATACTGTCCACCGCTTAGAGATCTAAAGAAGCACCACATAGTGGTGCAACCGGTGACTTCACCAGTAGTGAGTTATCCAAGAATTGATTAATTTCTTGTAAAAGGTGACTAGATGAGTTGGTTGGTACAATTAAGTTAATATACAATTCAAATCTAAGCTTAGTGTAGGGTTCTTAAGCTGATAATCTAGAGGAAGCGGGTTGTAATCCTGTGTATTAACTCAAACCTTTTCTCATCTGAAATATTCATGGACATACATATTGTAAAGTGCTAGGTTAGAGAGTGATTTTTACTTGAAATAGAAAATACTACTGTCCGCTCTTTGTATATTTAGCTTACCATGGAAGCAAATACAGATTATTTAGTTCTTATGGCTTACTCCTCTTTCACTATCAATCTAGAGGTTATACACAACTGTGTTCTTTTTCTACGTAGGAAATAATTTCGTTCACTTATTCAATGTAAGATTGTTTTGTAGCACTCCTTCAACGTCGTGTGACTATTATTATTGTTACTATTGTTCCCTTGGGTTTCTAGTGGAACATAGGGCTTCAACTGCACGTCTCCACTTGCTTCTGTCTTCTGCTGTACTTTTTACTTGCATCTATGTTAGTCCATACTGTTTCAACTCCTCTTCACACGATCTCTCCCATGTCACCCTTGGACGTCCTACTCACCGCTTCCCTTTCGGGTTCCACTCGAGCTATGGCCTGACGCGCGATGTCACCTAGCGGCCTCCTCAGCGAGTGTCCAATCCATCTCCACTTTCTCCTGCATATTTGTTGGGCGATTGGTTCTTGTTTTGTTTGTTCCCATAGTTTCTTGTTGGTGATTCTTTCCGGCCATCTGATCTTCAGTATAGAGCGAAGACAGAGTTGTTGATAAAGGTCTGCAACAGGCTGTTGGAAACATTCTTTGTGACCCGCCAAGTTTCTGACCTATCCGTATAGAAGAACTGACTGACTTGACGTTTGTATTGAAAATCCGAATTTTGTTGTTGATGCAGGCTGAGTGACGAAGATTTCCAGATTGGTTTCAGGTTGATGAATGTGTTTCTCGCCTTCTCGATTCTCGATTTGACATCCTCGTCGGTTCCTCCTGTAGTTGAGACAATGCTCCCTAGATAAGTGAGTGAATGAAGTAACCTCTTTCAAATCCCTCCCGTTGATGGTGATTGGCGCTGGATGTTGCAGCTACAGAAACTTCAACGCACAAACATATTAAAAAATTCTAAAAATATAAACGTCGTGTGACTAGCTTTCGTATTTAAAGGTTTACTGCTTTGTATTCTATGTGTAACAACTAATGAAATTTTTTTTGTTGACGATTATTGTTTCAGTGAACAAAATGAATAGTGGTTCAGAAGTTCAATCACCAGGTGTTGTTGGTAATGAAAAATCGCCTCTATCAACTCATGAAAGACTCTCAGGTGCAGAAAGTTCGAGTAACGGTGAAAATTATTACCTCTCATCGTCATCATCCTCATCAGCATCAGCATCATCGTCGAAGTCAATGTCCACGTCGACAACACCATCAACGCAGTTACCTCAAATTATTGTCATTGTATCTTATGTATTAGGCGGTATATTATCCTTATTTATTCTACTCGCTTTAATAATTATTGTACAAAGACGATGTCGACATCATTTACACTTTAAGCATCAATGCTGTAAACAGTTGGCAGTAGAGACAACAGGAATTGCATCATCTAATCCATCCGGTGGCTTTTATTCACCTATTTCCTTGATTGGTGCATACGGTAACAATAATAATCCTAATAATAATAACAATAACAGTCTAATGAATTATAATGTTGTGAATACAATGAATATTCCTGAGGCTGCAAAACTACTACAATCACTACCAACACTTTCTCCGAATACAAGGACAACAGAGAATTTTGTACATAACTGTCTACCGAATGGTGGTAGTGGAGGTGTTGGTGTTGGTGTTGTACACCATCCAAACAGCCTATTACAGTATGCTATGAATAATAGTAATAACAATAACAATAATACTTCAGTTACAGACAGTAATTCAGTGATTGTGAATAACAGTAATAATAATAATAATACAAATAATACTCGATTCGGTGGGACTGGTGGTGTCGGTAAGTTAGACTATGTATCATCTGTACCGCCACCACTGCCACCCGCTAATCTGTTATTACCTCGTGTACCTCAGACAACAATGTGTGGCGGTGTCAGTGATGCAAATGCTAACAACATCAACAACAACAACAACAATGATCAATTTATTGCACAGACAAGCTTGTATATGCAAACAAATCCAAATCGTTTGGCTACTACACTTGTTGCTAGTGATTTGAACAGTTTGGGTGGAATGAGTAAGTTTATAACTGTGGTTTAGTTATGTGTTGTGTTCTCTGCCAATAATTTTTCCTATATATCATTTTTCCCTGTTTTGTTTCCTTTAATTTCGTGTGCGATCTGCTCCGTTGAACGGGTTACGGTTTATTCAGTTCGTTTATTGTTTTTTTCTGAGCTCTTATACTGAATACTTAAGGTTGTACCTGGTTACTGAGTTGCGTTTTTTTTAAAATGACTTACTTATTGCTTGTGTACTTTCATTTCTTGCATCGAAATCTTGATCATTTGTATCCAGAGGAACTAGACCATTGGATGATGGTGTTCACAGTTCACAATTAATTGTCACTGTAGTAATCTACACGTCCACATGAGTTCTGATGCATTCATGAAGGCCGGAATCTACCAAATCTATTAGATTTTGATTGTAATTTTGTAAAATAATCTATACAGTCTTGAATACTTTTCAACTAGTAATGATTCCTTATACTAGAATAGGTGTTTATATCTGTAGTCGGTTTTAATTTTTGCTGTTAACTAAATACACTACTTAAAACAATTTAAGTAACATGATGCGAAATGCCATTGTAAAATGTTTTTCCAGTGTTTGATGTGTCTCAAAATAGAATGAATCAACTGTCTAGTGCTCCCTGGTTTTCACTGATCTCTCTCTCTGACTGATGTTAGTTCGTGATGAGAATTGAACAGTTGAAATTAATTCAAGATCACCATAAATCGTATAATCTGGAATGATAAGTTATATTTTAACGCAATAATCTACTAATCTCTGAAGGTATTTTTCTCCTTTGGAACACTATTGAGAACATACTTCGTCATGTAGATGATGCTTAATCATCAAGAGTATAGTATCAGTCTTCTAACCATTGAATCGAATTCTTACGACTGATAATCTCAGACTTTGATGATATTAGATAGTTGGAGGCAGTCGGCCACAGGAAGCCTTCGACCTAGGTTTCGTGCTAGTTAGCTCTCATCATCAAGGTACATCAGCAACCTTGGAAGAACTCATATCCCTTCTGAGATTCGAACCAGTGTCACCCAGTGGGGCTGCTGTCAGAGACGTTACCACTGAGCTATTTGGACTGGCGATTGACTTCCTGTAGGACTTTAGTGGATATTTTGATTGGACACTAGTAACTAGTGTGATGTGTCTAGACCTTTCTTTAGTGCAGACTGAATTCTATCAGTCAGATTTGCAATGTGGCCACTATTCTAGGTATCTCGCCATCACGTTGCACATTGATTTGATGATATTAGATAGTTGGAGGCAATCGGCAGGAAGCCTTGGACCTAGGTCTCGTGCTAGTTGGCACTCGGGTGACGCTGGTCCGAATCTCAGAAGGGGCATGAGTTCTTTCAAGGTAGCAGATACGCCTTGCTGACTGGTGAGTGCCAACTAGCACGAAACCTAGGTCAGACTGAGCTTCCTGCCGATTGCCTCCAACTATCTAATATCATCCAATCTCAGGCTTTATTGACCAGTGGGTATACAGGCGAGTTATTGATTGTTTCTTGACAAATCCTAGCAGCACGATTTGATGGAAACTATCTTTAAATGGGAGTAAATGTGTGCAGATGTGGGTGATTTAAAAGTAGGATGGATTACTACTAGGTTGCTGGTTTTTTTACAATATATTTTCCCTTCTGTTACTTACTATTTTCTCATCATCCTAGACATTATTGCATGCTCCAGACATATGAAACAATAACTACACTACAGGTATTAACTAACAACACAGAGAGGAAAAATTATCACAGAAGAAAATACAATACAGTATTTTTGATTTTCCTTTCTTTTCTTTGCATATATATGTGCTGTTTTACAATGGAATATCATCATCATCGTCATCATCATGCTTTTTCTCATTCACGCGTAAACATCACATACGTACGTAAATGCGTAATGCCTTTTATTGTATGAATGATGAATACGTCTACGAACGGATCAATTTCATTCTATGATAAATAAAACCATTATGTGATACGCTGTTTCACAAAACAAAATACCTCAACGATGATTAGATAATTTTATGCCTAGTTACATTGTTCTTCCGTCACTGACTACAAACAGTGGTTATATCTTACAGCCAATCATAACATCAACTATGGAAAGGCAATATCATGGGAACAACTGTGATAATAATGTTGATGATAATGACAGTCGAGCACAAGATAGTGCTAGTCTGTATACAAGTATACGTAATAGTCTAGTCGTCAACAGTAATACTATTTACTCTGGAGTCAGTGGGACAAATTCAGAACAAGCTGATGATGGGTGTTACAGTCCAATTTTAGAAAATCAAACTTTATTACATCCCTATAATTATGATGAGAATGTGAACCATACTGTCGATGACTCAGGAAATGTGACTTTGGAGAAAGGAAGATCTCCGTGTATCACTATGGTAGATAAACAGACGAATATTGTTAATGGTCACAATGTTGGAGATGTTCTTCCTATTTCCCTCCGACAAACACCAACAACAACAACAGTATGGCAATGATAACAGTTATCTTTCAAAGATATTTGCTTTTGAAAGGAATTCCAGTGGGAAATCAAAGCGCATCCATTCTGAAGAACAAACAACTCTGATGAGGAGACAAGGAGATGTTAAAGGGCAGCAGCTATGTGGTGAATTGTCAAATGAAACAAGGTGTCATCGATCATCTGGTAAACCGGAGAAAAAGACGTCCCCTATCACAACAAATATCTTCATTTTTCCTAAAAAGCAGCAGTAACAGTCACAGGTCTTCTGTACACTCATTGCCAGATAGTAGTGGAAAAATGCACCCATCGAATGTGATACATTCTGGCTGTATACAGAGATCTTCAGTTCCCTGCCAAAATGTTATCCTGCAGCAGTCAATACAATTATCCCCAAGAAGGTCATTTTTATTGCTACCATACGGTAGGTTGGAGATATTTTTTGCATGATGATGATGATGATGGTGAAAGCTTTGTTTGGCGCTCAAGTACACTGCATTCATCCTCTAACACAAGACATTAATACACAAATTAATATAAATCACTGGTGCATATACCACAAGTTTTAAATGTTGCATGAAATGAAATAACATTTTAACACATTTAACACAGAACATTATTTGAATGACAAGTATGCTTATAACTCAATAATTTTCTTCGTTTGATCAACATTATCTGATTTATTTTTCTTTCCCACCTTTCTTCCTATTATTATTATTATTATTATTATTATTATTATTATTATTATTATTATTAATGTTCCCTTGGGTTCCAAGTGAAACATAGGGATTCAACAACACATCTCCACTTTTTTCTATTTTCTGTCGTCCTCTTCATCTGGGTCCACGATTACCCTTATTCTCTCATCTCCTCCTCGCCACACGATCTCCTCCATGTTACCCTCGCACCGACGACCCACTCGTCTCTTCCAATTCGGATTCTACTCGAGCAATGACCTGCATTGCGCGCGATGTCATTCGACGGCCTCTTCGGTGTATGCCCAATTCATCTCCACTTTCTCCTACATATTTGTTGAGCGATCGGCTCTTGCTTGGTTTGTTCCCAGCCAGAGTTTCTTGTTGCTAGTTCCTTCTGGCTGACTGGGCATTTGATCTTCAGTATGGAGCCAGAGAAGGCAGCTGTTGATAAAAGTCTGCCGTGGCCGGTTGGAAATGCTTTTCGTGACGCGAGCGCCATGTTTCTAACCCATATAGAAGCAGTGACTGACTTCACATTTGTGTTGAAAATCCGAATCTTGTTCTTCACACTGACTGAGTCAGTGCAGAAGATTCCCAAACTGGTTTCAGGTTGATGAAGGCGTATCTTACCTTTCCGATTCTGACTGGCTTTGACATCTTCATCCATTCCGCTGGCCTGTGGTTGAAACCGTGCTTCCTAGCCGGATAAGTGAAGGAATTGACCTCTTTCAAATCTCTCCTGTTGGTGGTGACTGGTGCTGGTTGTTGTTGCTGTTGGTGGTGTTTGGTTATCTTCATCACCTCCGTCCTCTCTATATTCACATGGAGTCCTGTCTTCTCCGCCTGCTTCTTTAGCTAGTTAGTTGGTTTTCGCCTGTAAGTCTTCGAGTTTGTGTGGCACTCAACATAAACCATCCACGCGCGAAATCCATATGTTCTAGCGTCTTTTTATCGGTGGTCCAGCGTATCCCTGTCTTCTCATTCCCCTTGCACAGTCTGACGCATAATCCTATACATATATGTTTGGACATCAGTCAAACCCTACTAGTACTATCAATATGCCTAAAAGAGGAAACAACGCGTAGTTTTGACTGTTTTACTTTTTGGTTTTTGTGGGACTAAATCGAATGATTCCTCATGATAAACTAGCTTCGTATATGAAGGTAAGGATATTAACTAAGGTTGCATGTGTATGTTAGAGGGTTAGCGGTAGAATTCAGGAGGATAACCCTCTGTTATTTTTAGTGATAGGTGATGAATTTAAGTTTCACTGAAAACATTAACGCTCACTAAGATAAACAGATGGATTCAAGCAGCTACATACTAAGAAAATTCTACTGCTGGGTACCACCAAACAGATAACCAAACAAGAGCGCTTATGTATCAGTAAAGGTTGATCAATTAAATTCGGTGAATTGATTAATATATATTGCGAAATATAATAAACAGTCTTGAGTTTTTTGCTATATGACAGGTAATTACTGATCACGTTTGTGCTGCATTTTCTTTCCGTTTTTATCTTTTCACTTTCCTCCCAGATGTTCTACACTCACGTTGTTTCTACCTCTTTAACCTAATTGTCGCTAACCCCCTCTATCCGTTTTTATTTTTACGCGAAGTTGGTGATTTTTCGCAAGCTTGATCACAGATTGATATCAGTAAGAGAGCCACTGGAAAACCAGTGACTAATAAACAGCTGCTTTGCCCTACTTTGGGACTCTTCAGAAGCACGCATCCATTATCCAACTGGGGATCGAAACCAGAAGCTTCAGGTTATGTGATGGGCTCGTTGACCATTCAGCCACTGGTACGGAAC